ACAATTACTAGTGTTGTAAACTGAATTTAGTGGTTGGACCTATAGCATAGCTGGTATATGACACAAATAAATCCTGCTGTATCGAGAAAAAAATTGCATAATTTGTTAAAATGTTTTAATGATTTCTAATCAATACAAGATTTGACTACCCATCAAATTAAAACATTTTTAAAATATGAAAAGATTATTTTCACATGGTATGAAAAAGTGCAAAAAATGAAATGGAGGAAAAAAGATCATCAAGAAACTCAGTAACCTTTGTTAGCATATCCACAAAATATGAGTAATAAAAGTGTTTTTGAATAGAGATTTTGTATTTATTGGAGAATTTTTGTATTTATTGTATTTATTAAAATAGGTTTAAAATGTGTTTTTCATACTTCTTTATGTGAAAACTGATCTAAACAAATTCAAGTTGAATAAATATTTTAATGAGGAATGATCAGAAAAAGCAGCAGAACTGACCACTAGGTGGCAGAATTATTTCCTTGTCTTTAAAAAATGTAGAGAAAAAGAAAAACAGATTGAAAGAAGCCTATGTATAGGCAAATATATCACCAGTAGTTGGTAAAGCCTTGATAAGAGATTATATCCTGAGTATACTAAAGTGAGAAGCATTTTATAATTTTTTACCAACATAAAACATAAACTCAGCTGATTTTCTGCCACTCTTAATTTCACTGGGCCTTCGTTTTTTCATTTGTAACTTGTGATAATATAGAACCTATTTCATATGATTATGATGAAAATTAAATGAGATAATGTGGCAAATCTTATCATATGCCAGACAATTACATCTATTCAATAAATGCTTATTATGATACCTAAGTCATCATCATATTGACTTTCCAAATAGAAAAGATTTTTGGAGTTCAATTGCTCTAACATTATGGGAGAAATCTGATGAATTAGACTGCCCCTACCCCTCATCCAACAGAGAAGACTTTTTGAGATCTTTTGCACAATATGTAGACTGTAATTAATAATATATCATGTATTTCAAAAGAGCTAAAAGAGTATATTTTAAATATTCTAATCACAGAGAGATAAATATATGAGGTGATTATGTTTCTTAGGCTGAATAAATCATTCCACATGTATATCTGTATAAAAATATCACATTATCCTCATAAACTTTAATGTTGAGAAAGTAAATTGGGAAATAATTTTAGTCAAAACATGAGTTAGGGGTAATTGTAGATTCTTGTTTAAGGGTCCATATCATTTAACTTTTTTCACAAACTTCAGGTTCCCTAAAATAGGTAACCAACTTCTACACATGGAAATCATTATCCTTAAGTTATTATCTTTATGTTACTATTCATGTTAAACCCAAATCTTCCTCTCTATACTTCTTATCCATTTTATTTCTATTCCCTAAATTCACACAGAATTGGTGGGAAGAAAAATAGTGAGTAAAAGAAAAAAATCTCATAAAATTTCCATGTAGTACAATGATACTTTACTTGTAATATCATGTATTTTCTTAATTTGACTAATAATATTTCATAGAGTTGAAAATAATTAGTATGATTATCATAGACTAATCTCCAATCAGGATGGAAAATTATAAATTACTTCTGAAATGCCTTATAAGATACAACTCTGCATCTCTTTTGTGAAAAATTGTTTTGACAAATAACTTCTATTCATGAGGATAATGTGATATTTTTATACAGATATACATGTGGAATGATTAATTTATCTCTCTGTGATTAGAATATTTAGATTGTACTCTTTTAGCTCTTCTGAAATACATGATATATTATTAACTACAGTCTCCATATTGTGCAAAAGATCTCAAAAAGCATGCTTCTTAATTGAAATCAGATTCTCTAGTTGAGATTTCCTCATTTCCAACACCCACCCCTTCCCAACCCTGGTCTCTGTCTATTTCTATATGTTAAGTATTTGAGATATCATAAATATATCAGATCACACACTAGTTCACTTTTACATCTTGCTAATGCTGTATCTCTTATGCACTTATAGTCTGAAAGTTCTCCATTTGCTTTTATGATTTGTTGGTACTTTTAAATATGACATTCAAACTAAATTCTACATTGAAGAAGAAAATGCATTATTTCCATAAAAAAGAATTTCCCAGAGCATTTCCCAAGCTCCCTGGTGATGCTCTACTCACAAGAAGGCCTGACACATGGAGCAGGTGTTGCCATGCATTTTCCCATCTGGGCCCCGAATGGGGTCATTCTCTCTGGTGCAA